AATATAAAGTCTTCTTTCTAGTCTGGAACTTCCTTGATATCTTATCGAGGGTTTACAATGAGCGAGTTAATTACGAGTTGATGTAAGTACGATTAGCCGGTAAGCTAGCTAGCTTTGTCCTTGGCCACACACGCTAGGTTTTCCATCGTTGAAGTCAGATAATGGTTTCGTAAAAATATTAATGTCCAATGAGAATCCACTGAAGTTAAACGATTTGTAACGTTCGAAATTTATAAATATTCCTGGTCAAATATCTTAAGTTTTCCGATTGCTATAAAAATCACAGTTATAGCTTTCGAAGATTATAGCAAACTGATTATAGCGAACTACTAATAGACACAGTTCTTTTAGCGCGTCGCGTTGGTTATATTTATAGCTGTGTGAAGGCGTTCTAGAAATTTCAGTCTTACTAACAGTACTAGTTAAAGCATTTACATACACACATATATTGTTGATTCTTACTTTCGAGAATCATCTACAACTTTGGAGAACAGGCGGGAGTTTCACAATACATATTTAACACTAGAAGCTATGCGCGTTTTTAAATATAAACTTAATCTAACAACGTCGATATTAAAATAAATATATAATAACAAATTCGTTACAGCTCTCTCCTTAGAGAATTAAAAATTGGCTTTAAAGAATTTTTAACTAAAATATTATATATAAACATTGACAATAATACATTATTTAAAGGATTATACAACTTCAATAATCATTACAATATAGAATACAACCAATACAAATAACCTTATGATCATGAAATTACATAGTACATCGGCACAAATCTTATAAACCCTTATGACATGGATTATCTTTAAACCATATTATCATAGTGATAAACTGAAATTTAACAGCCTTATGTTTTCTTTGTGTGCATTTTCTTTTGTCTTTCTTTCTTTCTCTCTTTTTGTCTTTTTTTTCCTTCCGTCTTGCTTTCTTTCTGTTTCCTTCTTTCTCTTTTGCTTTCTTTCTGTCTTTTTCTATCTCTCTTTCTTTCGTTTTCCTTTTTGATTAGATATCCCATAGTGGATAACAATACCAAGACCATGTCCTCAGGACGGAACTTACGTTCTTCAAAAGCTGGGATAGATTTCAGAGGAGCAACATGAATTTTCTGGTTAGGTTTTTCCGACCAACTGACAATTATGAGAACTTTTGCAAAACCTAGAAACGTCTTGCCTAATTTTTGGCCAAAAGAAATGTCTCATAACTTTATCACATGTCTTGTTGACACCTAAATGACCTCTCATGGGGAGTTCATGGGCAACTTTCAATTTTCAGAACGATATGTTTTGGGATCAACGATTTGATAAACAATAGCCCAGTCCCCTGAGGCTGGCACACCTGGTGATCTCTATTTCCTCATAAACACACCATTTTTGAAAAAATAACCATTTGGAACTTTCTCCAGATCATCTTTTGGGAGTGCATATTCGAGTAGTGAATATATTTGCAAATATTTTTCTAGTTCAGTGATCAGTTTACTTTCAGTAAATGGAACTTCACTAGGTGAATCAGATCCTTCACGTCCATTGTTGTTCCTCACAGAGAAATCATCAGTAGGACAATTACCCACAAGATCCTCGTCGGATCCAAAAAATGTTTGAGACAAATCCAAAACATCGTCCTCTGAATCCATGTCTATCATTTGTTTTGGCTTAATTTCTTAGCCCGTGCTCGGGTCACGACACACGTAGGAAACATATCGGGATTCTCCTCAACGACAAAATCATCCTTAGATGAAACAATGGTCACCTCGTTAGCCATTTTAGGTTCGGCCACAAATTTTCCCCCAGCTAAATCGTTTCCCAACAACAATGATACACCATTAATTGGCAGAGTAGGTGTTACTCCAACTACAACTGGTCCCGAAACTAGGTCTAATGCTAAATAAATGTTATGAAGAGGAACATTAACAAAGCCACCCTCAATACGCTGAGCAATAACAGACTCACCAGTGACAGTACTCGAATCTAAAGGCAATATACCTTTTAACAACAATGACTAAGTCGTTCCAGTAC